AATTCACATAATTGTTGCTGACACAAGACTGTGACCATGGTTTTCCTGCTAATAAACAAATACCATAGCTTGTTTGATTTTCTATTCGATGCTGACTTCACAAAAATAAGAAGTCTATGTGTTATTTTTGTTTCTTATCAATGTGAAAACGTGAAATGTTTATGGATATGCGTTTATTGATTTTGCAAGAAGAAAAGAAAGGAAAATCAAAAATTGACATAGATTTTCAATTTTTAATTTGGAATGAAAATTGAAATGACGAATGACCCATTGACTTGTCCCTACATAGTTGAACAACACAGCAAAATCCGACTTTTTTCAGTTTGAGGGCCGTTTCCAACACTGATCTTCCCACATGATCATGTCTGATATATATAAATTTACTAGGCAGTTGCAATTAATTACTTATGTGGTTTCTTGCAATCTAAAGTACTTTGCGCAGGAGTGTAGCTGAACATAATTTTTGAATGACCTCAATTAGTGTTTGAAGTAATATGTTATCACTTATCCACACTCACTGTTATGATTTTCAAATGCACTGAGCATCAAGTTGTGATCATCAGGGGCAATTTCATCCACACTTTCTTTTGCGAGGGAAGCTTCTGTGGCTCTGTACAAAATATGAAGTAAAATACAGTTAATTTGACTAAAACACCATTTTGAAGGATTGTCAATTTGAACTAATGGAGCATTGAGTCTTGTTTCAAGTATATGAGTATAATGAGGCATCCTTCTCTTCTGACGTTTAAGAAAATTAATAATTGATGAATGGGTCATTTACCTCATCAGTTGACCTGCTACTTTTTCCTGATCTGGGATGTTTTTCATTTGTGGAGCGCTTACTTTCATTTATTTTGCCTCCACTACTTATCCAGACACTCAACGTGATTAAATTGGGCACGTTGGACAGCCAAGCCACCATAGATTATCACAAATTACGTGTTATGTCCATGGCGGCACCATTCTATACAAATATAAGATAAACAGAAGTAATCAACAGCAAGGCAAATCAATTTCATCACTTTCTTGCAAAACCCATCACCATTAACTTAGTAAGAGCTGAAAATTACCCTGGACAGAATTTTAAAAAAATTGTGAACGATAATGACTTTTGCGCAGCGGGAATGCACCACTCATAAAATTCATACAAAACTACTTCCGGGTCCCAAGTGTATTTGAATGATGTCATTTTCAGCTTTCTCATGGTTGTTTGCACAACAGTCAGTTCATATAATAGAGAGGAAATTTCCATGGTGGGTTGAAGAGTATAAATTTTAATATGTGGTGTTAAAAACAATATTTTACTCAGTGACCATGTTCGCTTGAAAATATTTGTAATAGTCTCTATTTACATCATGCAAATTTCATCTGAATATGTTAGCGTTAGAGCATTTTAGAGCTTGTACTTTAATACTGGCAGTCCTGGCAGTCACGCCTTTATAAGCCAATCAACTATCATCCCAGTGAGTGCTATTCACTGAGTGGGACTTTTGTTAGCAGTGACGGATGTCTAGAGTTCTTGGATCAAGTCATTATCATTATTGACAACTTAGCTTCTCTACACTTTCCAGGCCTGGTTTACATACAGGTCTAGTCCCACACATTTTTTGCTTTGCCTGAAAGGCTTATAGTCAAACATGGAAAATGAAAGACATACCATGGAACATTACAAATCAGTATCAACACAGAAGAAATTGGGAATCCTTATAAAGACTACCTCAAAAAATATTTGGCCTAGAACACAGAGAAATGTTCCTTATGCTTTTGTTGTTCTTTGTAAGAATACTCCTGCCGGATTGTGACCGTGTTCTCTTCTCCGCAATGGATTGGGAGGTAGGGCTGGTGTTGTCGACTGTTCCCTGTGAAAAAGGAAAGATCATGAAGTTTAACTTAAGTTTAACATTGTATAAATACTAGTTTCATTGGAAAACAGATGAAAGAAAAATAACAGCAATATGCAACAACAACGATTCATGCACAGTGCCCCCATTTTTACGAGGAATAAAGTCATTAAGCCCCCCTCCCATCCCCCCATATTCCACACAATCAAGTTAATAAATGATAGACTGTATTTGTATTGTAATGATTTAGATTACTGTTTTGTTTAGATTATCGTTTTACCATTTCCAATTTTTCTATTCCATAGATTTTAAGGTTCCCACAAGTGAATAAAAATGTTAAAATTAACTTGTATATGTGTAATATCACTAAAATCTCCATATTAGACGGTAATGCTCTGGTCCAAAACAGGAAGTAGGTAAGCATAACCCTAGTCTGTTTCTTCCTCTTTTTTCATACTGGTAATGCATTTC